CTCCTCTCCTCTCCTCTCCTCTCCTCTCCTCTCCTCTCCGCCCATCACTCTTTGCCGTAGCTTTTCCCTAGATCTGCTTGGTGTGAGCACGCAGCCATGATTCCAGGGGTTGTTGTTTGCCCCCTGGCAGGCCTTGGCAGAGCAGGAGCTGTGGGTCAGCTGCCATGTGCCATGCCATGTTCTCATCAGCACCTTCTGACTGTTGTTGAGTTCTTCAGCTCATGAGGGCAAGGTACCAGATCCTGACAAAGAATCTGATGCTGCCCACACACACCTTTGCCCTAGCCACTCTGTTTTACTGTTCCATCCCTGCACGTGTGGGAGGCAGTTTCTTTTCCCACTGTTTGCTGCCTGAGCACTGAGCTGGAGTGGTCACAGGGACTCCTGCATGTTCTGCAGCATTTGTTGCAGATTTCACGGTCACGTCTGGCAGTGTTGTCCCCCCAGCACTTCTTGCTGGGCCTTTGCACCGTGCAGGAGCAGCAGCTCAGTCTCCAGGCACTGGGATGGGGCCCCCAAATATGCTGAGGCTGGCAGGGCTGGGACTTTCTGCCCAAGTTTTTGAGGAGGGGCTGGCCCAGGGCCCAGATTTTTGCCAAGTTAGGAACAGGCAGTCTGTGTGTCTGTCCAGACAGCACTTTTGGAGGGGCCAGGCCTGACAGTTGGTAGATCCAGCTTTTTTCCCAGACTTTGTTACTCATTCCTGCTTTTGTCCCCCCATGCTGTGCTTCCCTCCCTGCCGACAGAGTGCTTGATGTGCTCTCCCTGCTCCAGAGCCTTTGCACCTGCTGTCTTGCCCCAGCTTCCTTCTTCCTCTCCACCTTTGTCCTTACCTGGTACATGATAAATTGCTTCTGGAGGTGGATTTCCTGGGGAGACAAAAATGAATGGGGAGGGGTTGAGGATTGTCTGTGCTCTGAGCCTTGGTTCAGATCAGTGGAGTTAGTTCTGGGTTATCCCGGGGTAAGAGGGAGTTCAGCACGAGCAATGCAATCATTTCCTGGCCCTGGCAGTGTGTTGTGCCAGTGACGGCAGCGTGGGTCTCAGGTAAAATCCTGATGGGATGACCCTAACTCTCAGCTGCCCAGGACCTGCATTCCCTCCTGGAATGTGTTCCTACTCTGTTTGTCAGAAACAGAAATGGGGTAGAAAAAGTGTGTCCCTTGGGAGACCTGCATTTGGAGGGTTGTTTCTCAGTTGGCTCCTGCCTGTCCCCAGTTTTCCCTGCCTTGACTATCCCTCTGTGCTTTGGGTGGTGGGAGAAGGTCTGGGAGCAATCTGTGTCTATGGTAGGGAGGTTGGCTCCTGCCCTGTGTGAGCACTGCCCTTCAGCATGGCAAGAGTTTCTCCGAGGGAGAGGTTTGGGACACCAGAGGATGTGATGGGCCCCTCAGAGAACCTGAACACTGGCACTGACACGTGGAGACCCTTACCCCTGGAAGGGAGGGGGCAGTCTGTGGGGACTGAGGGGTTGCTGAGGACAGGGTGCAGCCCAGGGGAGTGTGGGACAGCCAGCCTAGAAGATGTTCTCTTGAGTCTGCTCGTCGTTTCTTCTCAAAGACCAGTCTCCAATGGACAGTGCTGGCAGAGCATGAGGTGCCAGGACCAAACCCCCTCTGAGACTTGTGGCTCTTCTCTTCCAGGGCATCCTCCTCAAACGCAGTGGCAAGTCCCTCAATAAGGAGTGGAAGAAGAAGTACGTGACCCTGTGTGACAATGGGGTGCTCACCTACCACCCCAGCCTGCACGTGAGTACTGGGCTGACGTGGGGAGCAGGGGGGCACAGAGCAGTGTTCCTTACGCTGTGCCTGCTGCTGCTGCAGTGCTTTTGCAGTGTTGGCCGCCTCCAAGGCAGCATTTTCAGCAGACCTGGTTCTTACCAGGGTCTGGAGGAAACTCTCTGTTTCTCTCAGTGCTAGGCAGGTGGAATCACGCTCTGTGCAGGATTCACTGGGAGGCTGCAGATCTCTCCTGTTTGCCTGCTCAGTCCATGAAAGCAGGGCTTACCCTGCAGCCAGATGAGGAGCAGGCAGAGAACTCCTTGCTGCCGTATCTGCTGGTGCCATTTGGGTGTGGAGTCACTTTCGTGGCTGCTAGGTGTTGGGTAATGGAGACGAGGTGTCTGTGCAGAGCCGAGCTGCTGTCCCTGCAGCTCTGATCCTTGTCTCTGCTTGGCTCAGGCACGCAGCTGCTGCCCCATCCATCTCTGTCGCCTCCCCACTGTGGGGCTAATGGCTTCTTCCCTGTTCCCTCTCGAGCACAGTTTGCTCCTGCAGCAGCAGCCACACCTGTGACACAGGCCCAGCACCTCTGCCAAGGCCGGGCTGCACAGGACAGACACACGGGCAGTGGCTGGGGGCACAGGGTGCTTCAGAGGGCTGCAAGGAGAAGAACAAGGTGCTGCAGCTCTTGAGAATGTTCCCAGGCCCTCAGTCTGTCCCTGATCTCCTCAGATGTGTGGTAGTGGAGTGCCCTGGGCCTCAGGGTCTTTGTCCTCATTGCTAACCCTGCACCCTCACTCCAGGGTTTAGCACGCTCAGTTACTGAACTCCAGAGCCCCTGGACCCTCCTGTCCTTGAACTGGAGACCCAACCATTGCATTTCTTTTCTCTGATTTGTTGGAGCTTTCCCCCAGAGTCCTCAATCCCTGTACTGTGCTGCAGTCTGCAGTTCTCTACCTTTGTAACCCCAGATTTTGGTGTTTTTGGAGCACCAAACCAGGAGGGAGTGGCTGCTGCTGCCATCTCTGTGTGTGTGCTCACCTGTGCACCTGTGTGTATGGGCTTATCATATTTCCACCATGGAAATTACTGTGCTATTACCATCAGCTGTGGAGGCAGAGCAGTTTCTGGGCTCTTATTTAGCTAGTCTCAGATGCTGCTGCTGCTGCTGCCACACACCAGGCCTTTTTTCTCTCCTTTTTTCACCATTTCTTCCTCAACGTGTGACGGAGATTGATGCTACTCACTTTCCTTCCTGCGCTTCAGTGTTACATTTCATCATTGTGTTGCCCCGGGAAAAAAACAGGTTTGCTTCCAGCTGGTGCCACTGGTGATCCCCAGCCCGTTGCTGAGGGTGATGCCTCTCCTGCCCAGTCTGCACAGGGAGCTCTGAACCTTGCACCTGAGATAGCAGTTGTACACTGGATGTGTTTGCCTACAGCAGGGCTGGATTACACGTGGGCAGAGCTGGGGCTGCCCAGCCTGGCTGCCACAAGGCTGGGTTCAGTGTGCTCCCCCGGGGCACTGCCTGCCCAGCAGCTGGGGACAGGACTGTGGCACCCACCACCACGTCCCGTTGTGTGCTGCAGTTCTGGCAGCATGCTGGTGGGATCCACAAAGCCTTGCTGCCTCTCTTCCCTCTGGTACCTCGTGTACGACCTGCCTGGAAGGGGCAGGTGCAGGGACGAGCAGGAGGAAGAGGTAGTCCAGAGGAGGATGTCCCGTTGTATCTGCTGCTCCCTGTCTTCCAGAGTGGATCAGGAGGTGCTGTGATGGATTTGTACCCTGTGGCCTGAGGCAAAGCTCCCATGTCTCTTCGCAGGATGAGACAACAGAGCACGTTAGGGATGGAACAAACCTGTGCTCTGAGGATGGGCATGCACTCTTCAATCACTTCAGTGTGGCAACAGATCCCAGGCTGGCTGGCTGGCTGGGGGGAGGGGAGCTGTGGGCTAGAACAAACCACAGAGCGTCAGCCAAGGAGATGTGCAGCATCCAGTTCTTGCCATGGGATGGGAAGTCCCAGCTTCTTCCCTGCCTGTCCTGCCACGTGTCTGGGGGATGTTGGAATTCTGGATGCAGCAAAGGGTCCCTGAGGGCAGGCTGAGCCTTGCAGGAAGAGAGTCTTCCCTGCCCATCAGGATGTTCAATGCCCCAGAGCGTTTTTGTGCTCTTTTTGTGTTCCCAGTGGCTGTTCCTTGGCATAAGTCAGGGCAGTTCCTGGGTTGTCTTCTCTTCCATTCTCTCTACATTCCCTCCCTGTCCCTCCCGGGGTGGGTGTCAGCACCTCAGAGACCAGCAGCCCTAATTTCTTTCTCCTCCAGTGCACATCTGGCCAGGGTATGTCTGTGCTCCATTGGATGGAGGTCAGGGCCTGGCTCTGGCATTGCTGATTTTACCAACAAAAGCTTCCTGGTGGAGCTCTTAATCTGCTTTTGGGAGTTCATCACTCAGTCTATTTCTGGGTGTGGATTGTGGCACCTCCAGCCCAACTTGAAAGTTTCCTCACCAGGAGTCAGGTGTGAACTCTGGGTTTGCAGTCACAGGTTGGTGACACGTGCTGGTGAGCTTTCCTGATGGAAGCATCAGGATGCTTTGGCCACCAGCCCGGACTCATGCTGGGGAGCTGTGGGGCAGTCGGTGGGTTCCTGCCCTCAGGTGCCACCTCTGCCTCTGCACCAGAGCAGTTGGTGGAGTCAGGGACAGGCCTGGAAATGGAGGCAGGAGTGCTGGGGGCCTGATCCCTGGGTTCAGCAGGGCTTTCTTTGCTGCATCTATATTTCTACCTTTCTGTGAGTGTGTTCAGCAACAGGAAAAGAACAAGTTGTGTGAAGAGCGTGGTGCAGTTTCCCATCACTTCCCAAAGCCTCAGAGAGAGCTGTGCTGCTGGGAAGGTGCGAGGCTGAGCCCAGGCTCGCCGGCCGTGCCGCACACAGCCAGGGAAGCAGCTCCCATTTTGCAGCCAGTGGAGCCATTCACACAATCACCTTCTGTTAATTCTATCTGCAACATCAATTAAATTGTTTGTAGAAACTAATTGAATGTGGCTTAATCACACATCTTAATAGCTTTCCACGCTTTGAACTCGTTGTTAATTCCAGTAATAAAATGAAATGAGAGAACTGGCTGGGTAATTAGCGAGGAGGCTTGGGAAGAAATTGCTGTTTTATGGTGGGTAATAAAAGCCGAGCGGCAGTGACCGCTCGCTCCGGCAGGCAGCCGGCGACCGCCGCACTTGTGCTGAGTGAGGGAAAATCCTGCAGCCCCTGCGAGGGTCCCTGCCCAGGGCTGGCACCGGGACTGGCACCGGGGCTGGCACCGGGACTGCACCCCGCTGGGAGTGCTTGGGCTGCTGGTGTCGGTCACCCAGGGTGCTGGAAGGAGAGTGCCAAGGTTTGAGCCAGGCTGTCCAGCCCTGGGAGCGTGGGAGGTGTGCTGCCCCATGTCTGGAGTGTGCTGCCCCATGCCTGGGGTGTGCTGCCCCATGCCTGGAGTGTGCTGCCCCATGCCTGGAGTGTGCTGCCCCATGCCTGGAGTGTGCTGCCCCATGTCTGGGGTGTGCTGCCCCATGTCTGGGGTGTGCTGCCCCATGTCTGGGGTGTGCTGCCCCATGTCTGGGGTGTGCTTTGAGGGCAGGATGGCTGCGGGGGGGTCAGTGGAAAGACAAGAGTTCAGACCAAGGTGTGAAGGTGCTGTTGGGAAACTATGACCCTTGCAAATAGCTACCTGAAAGCACAGAGCATGGTCTGTGCAGCCCCTGTCACCTGCCTTTGGGGCCAGGATGGGAGGATTGTTGTTCTTAAACTGAGCGTGTTCATGTCTTTATCTTCTTGGACGTGGAAGCAGACAGGGACATCTCTGAGTTAATCTTTTTGGTGACCTCCTTGTGAACTGGAGTAAACGCAAGCCCCCCAGAGCAGCCACAAGCTCTCCCTGGACTGCTGTGGCTCCTCTCCTGATGGCAGCATAGGAGCCCAGGGATGGTGTCCCCAGCTCCCTGTTCCTCCTAGAATCTTGAGCTCCAGTGTTGGTCCCTGCTCCCTTGGGATCTGACCAGCAGTTCCCCTCTTCTTGGGTCTTCACTTTCTGAGGGCACAAGCCTGAGGGCGAGCTGGCCTCATGAGAGAGGGCTGGGAGGCACAGGAAAGGACACAGTGCTCGGGAGAGGTTTGGAGTCTGCACTCTCATTCTGACTGAAAGCTGAGATGTTCTTGGAAGACAGGGCAGAGTGATAGTAAAAGTCTGCACATGGGGCTTTGGTTGTATAATGAATTGTCTACCAGAAGAAATGGGGGAAGCACCACATTTTGAATAATAGGAAGCTCTGCAGGTGCATGAACAAGGGAGGTATCTGAGTTCTGTTGGTTTGGGTTTCTCTTACCCCAGCTGGAACCTGAGAGAGAATTTTTAGGTATCTGATTGCTTATGCTGTAATTCTATTCTATTCTATTCTATTCTATTCTATTCTATTCTATTCTATTCTATTCTATTCTATTCTATTGTTAGCTGTTGCAGTTGAGTGCTGAGATGAAGCAAGGGATGGTAGGGAGGGTGCTGATGCCTCTGCATGCCCTTTGGCTCCATCTGATCTCTCATCCCCACATGGGCTTGTCCTGGCATCCCACAGGGCTTGGTGCTGATTCTGGGGGGGAGCTGAGCGTGTTTGGCTGGGGCAGGGCTGACCCTCCACCCTTGTGCCTGTGCTGCAGGACTACATGCAGAATGTGCATGGCAAGGAGATCGATCTGCTGAGAACCACGGTGAAGGTCCCGGGCAAGCGGCTCCCCAGGGCCACGGCAGCAGCAGCGCCCAGCGCCAGCCCCAAGGCCAACGGGCTGGCCAAGGAGAGGAGCAGCTCACAGCTGGCAGGAGGCACAGGTAAGAGCTGCTGTGGCTGGCACAGAGCCAGCAGCCCTTGGCTTTGCTGAGCTGGGAGCAGAGCCCCTTCTGAGGGCACCTCTGACTTGCTTTCAGCACCCTCAAGGAGTCCCTTTGGTGGGCATTAGCATTTCTGTGCAGTCCCAGGTAAGCTGCTCTTAGATTTTGTGCTGGTTGGTGTCCAGGACAGAAGAACATCAAAGGGTTTAACTGGCAGCGTGAACCCTTGAGGAATTTCCTCACCCTGAGGAGAGTGTTGAGGCTGGTGAGCTGCTACACGTGGTGGAAGCTGCTGCTCCCTAAATCAAAGGAAATCCCAAGGCTTTTGGTTCCTGACAAGTTGTTTTCTCTTTCTTTCTGATTTTGGGACCCTATTTCCTCCTCAGTTTCCCCTGGAGAAATGATGAAGGTCTGGTTTGGGATCATCACTCTGTGTGCACATTGAAGAGTTGCCCCAGAGTGTGGTGAGGTGAGACTGGGAGGCTGGCTGCCCCTCTGCCTCCCACAGAGCTCCTGCCACACTCCTCCTCTCAGCGTTCCTGCCATGCTCCTCCTTGCTGCTGCTGCCAAGGGAGGTTCTCGCCATGCCTGGGGGAGCTGTTGAACTTGGGGCTTTCCTGCCCACATTTCCCAGAGCCTTTACTGTGTCCTTTGGGCTGGTGTCCTTGGCCAGGGTGGGCAGTTTCCACCTGCCTTCTGCCCAGCTAGCTGTTGGCACAGTCTGCTGCACAGATTATGGAAAAGGCTCTGTTTAGGATGCTGAGGAAGTGCTGGTGGTGCTGCTGACCACAGAAATCCTTCTGAGTCCGGGACTGCCACTGAAGCTGAGCTTGGGTGGCATATCCCCATCTTGTTCATTGCTGCTCTGTACCCCAGCTCTGCCCCGTGGTCAGGTGCTGTCAGCACAGTGCTTCAGAGTGTCCTGGGGCTGAGGGGAGGTGGGATGAGGCTGGGGTGAGTGCCAGGAGCTGCTGGAGTCCGTGGTGTCACACACAGACGTGGACAGAGAGTGGGGCACAGTAACATCTCTGCTCACATGGTGCCAAGGAGGACACCATGAGCCCTCCCAAACCCAACCTGCTGTTCTTGTCAAGTCAGAATTCATCTGTGGATAAACTGTCTGTGCAGCTCTGCCTGTTCCTTGTCTTGGCTCTCCACTGCACACTGATGCTCTTTCACCACCACCAGCACCCACACTCATCGTGCCCCAGCATGGGGACAGCTCCTGATTCTGGACAGGGACACTTCTCTGCCTGCATGTCAGAGCTGCCTTGTCTGGGCTCTGACTTAGCAGAGGTATCAGAGCTGGGGGAAGGATCCAAACCACAGAGGAGCTTATGCTGATGGCTGCTGTCAGACCAGCTGCTCACTTAACTCCATATCCTACTTGCAGCCGTCCTCTCAGTCCTGTTGGGCTCACAGGAGCAGGTTGGGATGTACCTGGGTTACTGATCACTGGGTTGGGATGTGTCTGGGCTACTGATCACTGGAAAACCAGAGCCAAGGAGTGAGTATGGCATGAGACCCTTCAGTCTGGGCCACAGAGCTGGAGCAGGCTCAGTGCACGGGGCTGGAGTTAGAGCAGTTCACACAGGAGAGGAGATGCAGTTTCCTAACAGGGGGAAATGAATGTTGGAATAGTTTATCTGGAGAGCAGCTGGACTTAGCACTGCCCGAGCCTCTGGAATGAGCCCAGTTTTCTGTTCACAAGATGTGAACAGTCCAGCTGGTGGGTGTTGCTGGGCCTGTGTGTGCAGGGCTGGGACCCTGTGGTACAATGCATGTAGGGTCTGTGGCTTTGGGATCCCCTGTTGGCTGTCTGCCCTTGAGCAGAGCAGTGCCCTGGGCTGCCCAGAATGGGTGTGTCCATGCAGGGCTCAGCACTAGGACAGCAGCTTTAAGCACATAATGTGTGTCCTGTTTCAGCTCAGCCTGTGTCTGCAGTGTCAGAAGGGTTTTTCTTCTGATACACAATCAGTAAAGGCTTTTCTGAAGTATTTTTTTCTCTCTCTGACGCTTCCAAGCCCAATAGCAGTGGATGCAGTCACCAAATGCACTAATGGGACACAGACCCTCTCTCTCTCTCTTATCCCTGTGCAATGACCAGGGCTGGATTTAGGGTTGGTGGAAAATCTGCCCGACTTCAAATTAGCAGTGACCCCACAGTTTTGCCACCTTTGAGACTGTGGATGAGACTATTACTGGATCCACTGGGCATCTCTCATCTGACACATATTTTTGGAACTGCAGAGGAAGCACTTTAAAGTTTGCAGTTCTTTGCCAGTCACAAGTTAATCTTCAGAGGACACAGTCTTTGGAGACATGAGGGGTTTGCTGTCTTGCTCCAGGAGTCTCTGGGCAAAACCAGTGGTTAGAGTTCAGAGCATCTGTGGTTCCTCTGTGACCTGAACTCTGCAAAGGTAAGTGAGTGTGCTGGCTGATGTCTGTTCACACACAGCCCTTACCTGGCATGAGGAAGGACCAGGGACATAGAGGGGAGAAGAAGAAAAAAATAAATCTCACCATGCCCTGTATGTGGATAAAATACATGGATGCAGATGCTCTGGTGAGGATTCAGAATAACTCCAAAGCTGGTTTAGACAGCTTCAAGCTAAATGCAGTAGGAATGAGGAAGGGACTTGTGTTTGTGAAACCAGAGGGGACTCAGTCATGATCAACTTTACTGTAGTTAGGCTTGGTCTTACTTAGGGTTGGATGAGTTCCCCATTGTCCAGAGGAGGGCATGGAGATGCTCCAAGGGCTGGAGCTCTCTCCTACAGAGAGGCTGAGAGAACTGGAGGTGTTAACCTGGAGAAGGCTCCAGGGAAGACCTCAGACCCTTCCAGTGCCTAAAGCTGGAGAAGGAGCCTTGGACAAGGGTCTGGAGTGATGGGACAAGGGGGAATGTTGTTATACTGAAGGAGGGGAGGTTTAGACTGGATATTGGGAAGTTCTTCCATGTGAAGGTGGTGAGGCCCTGGCACTGGTTGGCCAGAGAAGCTGTGGCTGCCCCATTGCTGGAAGTGTCCAGGGCCAGTCTGGACAGGTCTTGGAGCAGCCTGGTCTGGTAGGAAGTGTCCCTGCCAATGGCAGGGGATGGGATCACAGTGTTTGGGCAGGAGAGGGATGAGCAGATCTCCTGCCAGAGCTCACAGGTGTCATGGCCTGAAGGCAGGTATTCACTAGAGGTGTGGCACTGCTCGGTCAGGTGTCTCCTGCAAATGCCTGCTGCTCCTCTTCCTGCTGGAGTGTCACTTCTCTTGGCCTCTCCCTCACGGCCCCCAGGTGCATCCTTGCTCATCAGGTTCACCTGGCCTTGTGCTGTGCTGCATCACTTGTTTCTGGCTCGAGGAACAGCTCGTGTCAAAGTGCAGATGGGATGAAAAGGGACTTCAGTGGGGGAGGAAGGATGGTGGCACAAGAGCCTAGCCTCAGCCCAGATGAGCCCTGGGTTCTTGCTTCACAGAGCTTTGTAGGGACCTGCTGCAGTGTGAGCAAAGGGGAGCACGGACAGGGAGGTCCTGGTGCCATGGTCCGTGCATGGCACCGACCACAGCCGTGCACCCAGCGGGCTCCAGTGCTCAGTGAGGGCAGAGCATGCCAGAGCTGACCACGGGAAGCCTGCCTTGGAGTGAGAAGTGAAGAGAAGTGCAGGAAGGGGCTGCAGCAATGCTGGGATGGCTGTGGTTGCAGGCAGTGACTGGAGGTGTTCCAGCAGCAGAGATGGGACTGAAGGGAGCCAGAGCAAAGAGTAAAGGGAGCAGGCTAAAGGGAAAAGTTCTGCTCCTCTCTGGGGGGCTCTTGGGGGGTTCTCCAGCTTGCTGAGGGCCATGAGTCTGCCGTGGGATGTAGTGCTGGAGAGCAGATGGCAGCATGTCCTCAGCAGGGGAGGCTGAGCAGGATGGGCCGGTCACACTGAGCATGGAGCTGGGAGCTCAGGCTCTGGATGGTTTTGGTGGCACTGCTGCTGGTCAGTTCTCTTCAGCCCGAGGAGCAGCTGCATGGTCTGACACGTGTGCTGGGGCCAGTGCCAGTGTGAGTCGTCTTCCTGCTCCTGCTTGTGCAGCATCACTCCTGCATCTCCTGCAGGGAAAGTGCTGCTGGGAGGCGCTGCTTGGTTGATGCTCCTGTTTGCTCTGAGGTGGTGAGGGTCCAGCTGTCCCTGGGCTGAGTTCTGTGTGCTGGCACCAACTCCTGGCTCCACAGCTCTGGCCAGGGAGCTGTTGGGGCACAGAGTGTGGCAGCGTGCCCGTCCCTGGGGCTCAGTGCCAGGTGGGCTGGTGGGAGGGAGCCTGTGCTGGCCTCAGCCCCTCCCAGCGTTGGGATGGCAGGGGCTGGTGCTGGGGCAGCTGGGGGCCTTGGCCGTGTTCAGGCTGGCATCTCTGGAGCCGTGGCCGGAGCACTGGCCCGAGGCAGGCGGTGCAGAGCCGCTGCCGGTGCCCGCCGCGGTGGCACTGCCCCCCCGCCAACCCCGTGCCCCCCGATGCTCTGCCTCTGCAGAGTGAGGGATTGGCTCCCCCAGGCCGGGGTTGCTGAGCCTGCTGTGATCATGTCACGTCGGGCTCCGTCGATGTTAACATCTCATTATCTTTGTTACTGTAATTACATTATCCGCTGCTTTATGCAGAATTATTCTCCGAGGACTAATTGATGGATCCATGTTTAATTCATTAATCATTAGCATCAAATTCGACAATTACAGTGCACACTGATTGTGGAATTTCAAATGTAATGAGGGAAGAATTAACAAAGAAAAGGGAAAACCTGTTTCCCTGGCACACCGCTGCTCGCCGTGGGGGACAATGACATTGAGGGAAGAAGAGCAGTGAGAGCAGGGTGGTGCAGGTCATGGCAGACAGGAGGCTGCTGGATCATCTCCTACCTTTCTCCTAGTTGCGGTTGCACGACAGATTCTTCAGGTCGGAGCAGGGTCGTTTATCTACAGAAGAATGGAAATTGGGGACTCAGGAGGGAAAGCTCAGCTCTGACTTCTGAAAGTT